ACCATTTCGGATCGAAGACAAAACAGAAAGGAATAACGTCGTCCTGAGAGTCGACGATCGCCACACCACTTTTTTTCTAGTATCACTACAGATCTCTCAGTATCCGACATGCCTAGAGACGCAGCTACGCAAACTGATACCAATGAGGGCCATCGAACGATTTCGGTGCAAACGGGTGAAAAGGGGCATTGGATTGCCGAACGACGGGAGGGCAAACTTCATACACGAAGAGGTAACTTCAATAGTCGCAATGGTACACATCAAAACGCTTGATACACCCAGACGCGCAAAATTAAGCAAAAGGACCAAGCGACAGGAACATCACGCAAAAGGAGAGCAACCCCCACTCCACAGTACGACAGGGAAGACGTCCTCCACCTAGTAGTGATAACGGACGAAAACGTACGAGGGTGGACCCCGGGCGAAGGAAGGGGAAAAACTAAGGAAAGGACCTAAACGGACTGAGGAGTGGGAGAACCTCACAACTAGCTATAAAAAACAAGCATCCAGGAGCAAAGACATCATTCAGTGTCTAACGCCACCGACAACCAAACATGTGTTACGGCCATTGCAAAACAACGACTACGAACGAGAAACGTTTGGAGGAGATACAAATAGCCCTGGCGACACTATTCTGCACATGGGCAGTGTACTTCACAAACGAGGAAAATGAAGCCGTTTGCGAGGAATGTGCAAATGGAACGCGAACAACGGGAGAAAAATTCCAACGCCACCAACCATCCAGCAGAGCACGGATGGAAAAATGCACATCCTGCAAAGCCCCGGTCACCCGAAACCGAAGGATAAGGGATTGCGAAGAGTGCATGGGAGACCTCTTGGAAAAAATAAGACGACACCATACACCTGAACCGAAACCGAAAGTACCAGTGGACCATGAACTCCAGAGAGAAGTCCGAAGAGTGTTGAGCTTCACATTCTGCACGAGGCTAACCTTCTTTGCGACGAACGACGACCGCGACCTATGCATGAGCTGCGCTAGAACAACGAGGGAGGAGCTGGAACGATACGACTCGCACGGACCAGTCAGAACACCTTCCACCGAACCGTGCGACAACTGCAAAACCCCAATGCTGATCGTGCGACCTGCCAGCGAGTGCCCTGATTGTGTAAAAAGGATTACACGAGGACTGGAGCTCACAAGGCGCTACAGAAACACACAACCACGACCAACCACCAGCGACCCCCTGGAATAAGGCGACCACCTGGACACTCCATCGCCCCTAAACCCCCCAGGTCTATTTTTCTTTATTATTTGTCATTTTCTTTATCTTTATCATTTAAGGATTTTAATTTTACCCCGTTATCTTCTTCAGTTTATAGTATTCCAACCATTATATTAATACATAGCCCATAGTTTTAATTTTTCTTTTATTTTAATTATTTTTAAAGCTTACACTAGATATAATTAGTTTTAATTTCATGTATTTCTATAACCTTTTATTTATATATAATAATTTCTTATTATTTTTGCGTAACCATTGTAAAACACGGCACCACACGTTTCGGCTCTCATTGTGGAAGCATCATAATAAACGATGTTCCCTCTGAGGGGGGAGATGTTACGTACGCGTTCTACCCGAAGCGTGCGGCGCCGAATGTTTAGTCTAACACGCACCCCCCCGATAGTCGCCAAGCAAAGGGATGAGCTTACATTCAATTCCCACGGAAATCTGACGTTCCCCACCACCAAAAATCTTAGTTTTCGGGGTATAAAAGGGTAGGATTTTCGACGATCGCGGGCAGTCTCTAAGTCAGATTTTGAACATAACGTCACTCTGTCCGTTAGTACTTGATACGAGCAAGATCGGGTTCCAGTCCCCTTCGAGCAATAACACAACGCGTAAGTGTCAACCAAAATAGTACTGTACACGACTCCTCCGCGCTCTCACCGCGTAAAGTCGAGAAGGGAGATTCTTGCCGAGTCAAGAATCGACCAACGTAAAATTTTGTAATTTATAATAGAATATAGGAATATAGAGTACTACTCGTGTCCATATTCAATCAACCCATCCTGAGTAGTATAGTAACGTACCAGCTAACCCCACGACAGATATACCTTTACCGCTCGAGGTATATCAACGACACGACTCGCGAATACCAAACACCTTCTTATCCGGTGGCACATAGCGTTAACCAAACGCTAGTGGTCCATCTCCTTCGGCTACCTTCGTTAACCATACGTTGGCACGTCCGAGACCTCCTATCTCACCTACGACACACTGTCCGGTGGCACGCGGCGTTAACCATACGCCGAATGGTCCATCTCCTTCGGCTACCTTCGTTAACCATACGTTGGCACGTCCGAGCACTCCTGTCTTACACCCGACACATCCTCCGGTGTCACGCGTCGTTAACCAATCCCGAATAAACCACCTCCTTCGGCTACCTTCGTTAACCATACGTTGGCACGTCCGAGCCCTCCTGTCTTACACCAAACACCGTCATATCCGGTGGCACACGGTGTAAACTATACGCTAGTGGACCATCTCCTTCGGCTACCTTCGTTAACCATACGTTGGCACGTCCGAGCCCTCCTATCTACACCCACGTCTACCGCGAATCGGGAAACACGCGCCTTTATATCAGGACCAAAAACCCGAACGACGTCGCAAGGCTGGTGATACCGGTCGAAGTCCGCGAACACCTGACAGCCTGCCGACGACCGTTCGGAACGCGAGTCGTAAACCCCTATAATAAAGCGGGTGATAGCGGTGGAACAAGCCGTGCACACACCCGTTTTATAACAAACTGGTGACAGCGGTGGGATTACCTATAACAAACTGGTGACAGCGGTGGGATTAGCTATAACAGATGATTCTAGTGACGACGATATTATATATCGTTCTAGAACTATTATCCGACGAAGAATTTCAAGCAGTTCTGATTCAAGCCCGGATTCGGATAATTCTGATTCTCAAGAAGAATGGTTGTCAGTAGACAAACCTCCAGTCTTGGAAGAGTTTTTAGGTCCCTCAGGAATAAATACAGAAAACGTTCCGGATAGTGTAGCGGATGCTGTAGCTTTATTTATTGGCGATGATTTTTTTACATTCCTTGTAGAGGAGTCAAATAGATATTATTACCAAAATATTGATAAATTCACAACTTCCAAGAAAGCCCTCAAATGGAAAGACATTACGATACGAGACATGAAGAAATTTTTGGGGCTTATTCTTCTTATGGGTCACGTGCGTAAGGACCGAAAAGAGGATTATTGGAGCACGGATCCGTGTATAGAAACGCCAATTTTTCCGAAAACAATGACAAGAGACAGATTTCGTATGTTATGGAAGGTCTGGCACTTCAATAATAATGAAGAGTTAATCGATGGATCAGACAGGCTTTCGAAAGTCAGACCACTACTGAACTACTTTGTTCCCAAGTTTATAAATGTTTATAAGCCTATTCAGCAGTTGTCTTTGGATGAAGGGATAATACCTTGGAGGGGGAGGTTATTCTTCAGAGTTTACAACGCAATGAAGATTGTAAAATATGGAATTCTAGTTCGTATACTGTGCGAAAGTACTACAGGCTACATGTGTCATTTCGAAATATATTGTGCTCAAGGAAAGCGATTGATAGAAACAATTGAAACGGTTGTATCACCTTATACAGACTTGTGGCACCATATCTACATGGATAACTATTATTGTACAATAGCGTGGAAAATACTAAAAAGCTATTACAAAATAAAATTAGAATTTGCGGCACTATTCGAAAAAACAGAGGACTTCCGGATTGCCTCAAAACCATTTCATTGAAAAGAGGAGAAATGGCCTTCAGAAGAAAACGAGACATTTTAGTACAAGTATGGCAATCAAAGAAAACAGTGTCTCTCATATCGACAATACATTCATCTAAAATGGAAGAAAGTCATAATATTGATAGAAACACGAGGGAAAAAATAGTGAAACCTAACGCGCTGATTGACTATAATAAGTATATGAAAGGCGTTGATCGGGCTGACCAATATCTATCATATTACTCCATTCTAAGACAAACAACCAAATGGACAAAAAAAGTTGCTATGTACCTTATAAATTGCGCATTATTGAGCTCATTTGTTGTTTATAATTCCATGAAGGAAAAGAAAATAAGATACAAAAATTTTTTGAAACTCATAGCTGTCCATTGGCTTACTGATGAAATTCCACCAGAAGCTGATCAAGACCCAGAAGAACCAATACCATCAACATCCGGCATTAGAAGAAAAGCTGCAAAGGGCGACCCTCCAGGGAGACTTTCTATGGACATGAGGAAACATACATTAGAACCCATCGTGGGAACTGGAAAAAAGAAAAATACTTCACAACAATGTCGTGTGTGCTCCGTTAAGAAAATACACAGTGTAACGCGGTATAGGTGTAAATTTTGTAATATACCCTTGCACAAAGGAAAGTGCTTTGAACGATATCACACTTTAAAACATTTTTAAATTCTTGATTTTCTTAGTTTTTGATTTTTGACAAGGTATTTTTATTTTTTTAAAGGGAATAAAGAAATTGATTTTTAAAGAGAAACTAAAAGTTTTATTTAAAAAAAACCTAAAGTTCAAAAACTACAGCTATTTTGTGCAGAAGTAATTTTGCGTACGAATTGTAAAAAATCGCCCGCTAGCCGGTGAGAGTTTGGCGGCAAAGCACCCGCGCAAGATGTGTTAACCCTTTTAGTGCCAGCGGGCCGATGCGTTGTGGCGGGCTTACGTGCTGAGGGACTTTTTCTCAGCCTCGTTTGAAGGGCCTCGCTTGTTTATGTTCAGATCATTATTTCTCTGAGTGTCAAGTGGCATTCGCTTACACTTAGTCCTTATTTCTGATGCCAATAGTATAGACCACACCATGCTTCGGTTCATTTGGTTTTTCTTCAGTCTTTCTCTGGCGTCAGTTAGTGAAAGTCGAAGCGTTTTCCTGATTTCTTCTATTCCAATATTTGGTTTTAGTCAGTTCATATATTATTTTGAAATAATACCTAGGTCAATAATGGCAGAGCAAGTTCAAAAAGATAGTGCAGAAAGTTTGGTGCCATCATATTTTGACAACGGCAATGCATCATCGAATAGTGATGACTCGCTCATCCACCCTGTTGGACTTACTTCATCAAGAAGACGAAGAATATTGTCATCCGAAAGTGAATTTGGAGAAAATTCGGGTACAGCAATAGAAGGTTGGGATGAAGTGTTCCAGGATACTGATAATCCACCAGAAGCCCACTACAAATTTAATGAAATACCAGGTCCAAACCACACACTTCCTCATGCTGCAGCGCCCATTGCCTATTTTTATTTATTTTTTACCAATATTCTGCTGGAGACAATAGTAAATGAAACGAACGCCTATGCAGATAATTTTTTTTTACGGAGAAATCTGCACCCGAATTCCCGTGCACGAAAGTGGAAGAATATTACGATATCTGAACTCAAAGGATTCATCGCCTGCGTAATAAATATGGGTCTACAAAAACGGCCAACCATTTCGTCGTATTGGTCTACTAATAACTCGCAGTATGATCCGTGGTTCCACCGAATGTTTTTAAAAAACCGCTACCAGTTGATTCTGAAATTTCTTCATCTGGCCGATACAAAGGATCTTCCTCGACCCGGACAACCTGGATACGACCCATGTGCTAAAATCCAGCCCCTCATTGACCATGCCAACACAGTATTCAGACAGATCTATACTCCCCACGAGCAGATGAGCATTGACGAGAGCTTAGTGGGAACCAAAAACCACACACAACTGTTGCAGTACCTTCCTAATAAACACCATCATCGGTGGGGAATAAAACTGTGGATGTTATGCGACTCTGTTTCAAACTATTGTTTGGCTTTTTACATATACCGAGGAGCACAAAGTGCTGCAGACAGATTCGAAATCCAAGAAAATGGCTTGACGCATACAGTTGTCATGAAATTATTGACAATGGGAAATTATTTCTCAAAAGGTTACCACATTTTTGTCGACAACTTCTTCACATCAGTACCTCTGGCGAAGGCTTTGTATGATCTGGGCACTTACATTACTGGAACGATTCGCAGAAACCGAAAATTTAT